GAGGAATGGCTGGAGCGGAGTATCCCAAGTTTTTGTTAAAGAAATAAACACAAAAACTTACATACAGAAAAGATACAGGAACATCCCAGTTGTGGATGTTCCCCTGATCATCCCAGTCAAAGAAGTCCCTAGTGAGAATTTTTACACTCCAGTTTTATAGATAGCCCAATGATTGCCAACAATAAGAGTGTGGCATGCCAAGTCCCAGGGATCTTTGAACAATAGAAGATCATGGAACCAAGGTAGAAGTCCCCAGTAGGCTAATTAACTTAACAAGCATGTTGGACTGTTCCATTTAGTGGGACTAAACATAGTGGTATAGTCCTACTGTCACTGCAGCTGTTTTGCAGTGAGTTTTCTTAAGAAGTTTAATTGCATGTAGATTTAGGATTTTTAATAATAACAACACTACAGCATAATGTGTCTTTGCATTTGTAAAAGAGCCCACGAGTACTTTCCCTTTTTAGAGCAGTGAAAGAGACTACCTTTGTTTTTTATTGCACAACCTTGTACACGGGACCATCTGTGGCAACTGTGTGCAGCTCCTGTGGTTACTCTATGCCAGTGTGCGTTCAACCATGCATTGTGGTTACAAGTTTGTCAGTATGCCACATCACACTAGTTCCTTTGTTTCAACATCATGTGTTGTTTCTAGCCAGTGTGCTTTGTAAATTGTCATACATCAAGATTTTCTTGAAGTTATTCAACTCTGATTGCTCCCAAGAGAGCCCAATTTGGTAAGCTAGTATTTCCTTCTTATTTTCTTATAGCCTGTATTTGTTCTTTGAAGCTAAAGTGACATTTTGAGGTCAGTTTTAGGCATGCCTGTGTCATGTTTATAATCTTTGAGAATTCTTACTGTTTCTATTCAAACCACATGCGGATATACATGTACTTTCACTTAGTTCTGGGTTTTCTCTGTATTTTACAGATTGTTATCTCAAACTCAAATCAGCTCAATTTACCACTGATCATCTCAACCATCCTGGTGAACCTAGTCAGCTGAACTTTGTGAATACCAACAAGTTGGGTTAATAAAGAACTGGATCTCAGAAGTCTGAGTAAAGTGTACATGTTGTAGGCCTAACGTTAGGGCCTAGTCTTCAAAGTTTGACCACCGAAACTTCTCGGGACTTACGTTTGTCCTGAGACAGCCACACCTACATTTAAATCCAGATCAACTAATATGGAAAGCAAACTACACATATACATGAACATCAAAAATATAACAATTTAAAATAAAATCTGTAACACACAACAAAAATTAAAATAAAACTCATTTTGTTACAGTATTCCAGCGTAAGGCAAAAGCAATTCAAATCAGGGATGCTACCACTGAACTGCAAGATTGATTATGCAGACTGTAGGTAGCAAGATGTGATTTCTGTTTTTGGGGGTTTTTTTGTAAAGCTGCTGTGTTGTAACCTATTTGTTATAATTTAACCATTCATGTTTGCCCTCATCAACAACTTTAAGGGGTGTGATAGACATCTGAAAATATTCACTTGGGTTAGAATCTTGCTAGTATTTGATGTGTAGATTCTCTTTCAATTTCAATTAATTTCAAATGCGTTTTGTTGCTAATTTCATTGTTTGTTACTTCAATTCTGATGATGAATACTGGGCATTGTTTCATTTAGTACATCCACAGTCATTAAAC